GGTACCTTTCCCCCCCCCCCCCCCCCCCCAAAGGCAGGGACCAGGAGTGGGGAAAAAAACCCCTGCCGGCACCCCCCTTCCGTGAGCCACCAAGGGGCAGGGAGAAAGCCCCCAATTGCCCCCCACCCACTCCAGCAGGGAGCAGGAGGGAGGAAGAGAGCTTCTGCCCAGAACCTCTCCTTATCCCCTGTCCTGACTCTTGCTCTGAGCCTCTCCTCACCCCCAACCCTCACTCATCCTGAGGCCCTCTGAACTCTGGTGGACCCAGTCTTCTGCCCTGAGCCCCCACATTCCCAAGCCTCTGCACTGACTCCTGCACCCCCACATTGCCAGCCCCCTGTCCTGAAGGACCCTGTCAATGCTGGGTAAGTCTTCCAATTATTAATATTGCTACTCTTTAGATGTGCATATATTTAGAAGCAGCTTCTCTCCAGGAAACTGCAATATGTGTGAAAAAAAACAGTATCAGAGCAAGCCCTTAAGCATCCATTGATAAACTTACCTGCCTTGATTGAATAAAGAAATACTGTTATACTGCAGGAGAACAATGTTGTTGCTGTCATGGTTCACTAGGGAGGATGAAAAAAGAAAGACTTCAATAATGGCTTTCAAAAAACACTTCAAAGCTGATTTTCAAAGTTGCAATTAACATACACTCCTCACATTATTTACATGTATGAAGGCTTCCAAGGTGATTTACAAATTTGCAGCACACTGGAGAGTCACCTACCCAGTTAGTACAGTGGTTTTCAACATGTAGTCTGCAGACCCCTGGCAGTCTGTACGCTGTGTTTAAGTGGCATAGGAAAAGTTGAAAAATAACTAATCTAGTGAAATGTGCCCACCTCTGGTATAGAACAATAGGCCCATTCTGCATCAGCTACACTACACAGTACTCATTATTTTCTATTAAAAGGGGAGCAAAGAATAACTTCTTCAATTGAAACAGAGGGATTTTAGATAGGGAGTTACATTCTTCCTAACAACTGAAATTAGACTAGGAATGAAGGGTTAGCCAGTCCATTCTTGTGAAAGGGGCCACGGTATCTTTAAATGATCACTGGTTCACATCTCAGAATGGAGATGGGTACAACACAGTTGTCAGTACCCACAGCACAATATTTGGAAATCAGCGAAGAACAGTACCATGTACTGAGTCAATAGCATTACAACTTGTAATACCAGTTTGCCTCTTTTAAACTCATTTGTTTCCCTTCCAAGTATGGAACATGACCAGTCTTGCTTAGCTACGAGAAAGGGTAAATGGCTGCAAGAATGTAGAAAGTAAAGAGTACGTTGAGCATAAAAGGTAAAGACAGACATTTTGGGGTGACATTTGAGAAACTTCTTTTAATGAGGAGGCCTCACATTTGCTCATAGAACTCAGTGAATAAATAGCAATGTTTAATAGTGCATTGGGGTCACTTAAAAAAAATGAGAAGTCTCAGGGAGTAGGTGTGTTAGTCTGAATCTGCAAAAACAATTAGGAGTTCTGTGGCACCTTAAAGTCAGGCTCCATGCATGTAACAAAGTGATTTTTACCCACAAAAAGCTTATACAATAGAGTCTCGATTTTCCGACCTATGCTCACATGACATTCAGTTTTATCCAACGTGCCATCTGCCGTCATGTGCTGCCCACCAACATGACGAATAAGAATACAGCATGTACAACAGCCAGTCACAATCAGCGCCACGCACCCACACCACGCACGAGTGCAGTCATGCTTTTGTTTGATGATGCCAGTACTGTAGATTGAAATTTCTTTTATCAGCATGGCAAGTGAAGAGAGAAAGAAAGTACAGTAGACTTCTGATACTCCGGAACCTTTGGGACCCAGATGATGCCGGATTATCAGATATGCTGGACTATCAGGAGGTACTATAAGGTGGTTTTATATATATATATATACACACACACACACACTGTATAAAGTATATACTGTATATAAAGTGTTTCAGTTTTTTAACCCTTTTTATCCTTTTTGCTCAGTTCAGCTGCTGCCGCTGCTGTCTCATGACTCGTTTTTTACCGAAGCTCACTCACTAGGCTCTTGCCATTTTGATGCCGAACTATCAGGAGTGCCGTACAATTGGATGCTGGACTATTGGAATTTTACTGTAGTTGTTTCAATGAAACAAAAACTTGAAGTCTTACAAGGACTAGATAAAGGCAAAACTATACAAAAAGTGGCAACAGAATATGGTGTGGGGCATGTTACTGTTGGCGACTGGAAGAGAAAAATAAATGAAATTGAAAAATGGTGCTCTGATAAGGCTTCAGATGAAGGTCTCAAAAAAAAAAGACAATGAAAAAATGCGAATATGAAAAGGCGAGCAAAGTTCTATTTTTGTGGTTCACACAGCAAAGACAACATAGCATGCCAATAATTGGCCCTAGTCTACAAGAAAAAGCGCTGGCATTTCGCAACACATTTAATGAAGGAGAAGCTGACTTCACAGCTAGTACAGGCTGGCTAGACCGTTGGAAAAAGTGTTATGGAGTGAGGCACCTCAACATCTTCGGTGAAAAATTATCAGCAGTTTCAGAATCAGTTACTAAATTTAAAGAACATTTTTTGTCTCTTGTAAATAATGAAGGGTTATCGCATGAACAGACCTACAATAATGATGAAACAGTGCTAAATTTTAAAATGCTTCCATTGAAAACTCTGGCTTCCCGTACAGAAACTTCAGCTACTGGCTATAAAAGAAGCAAAGGAAGAGTGACCATTCTTGCCTGCAGTAACGCCTCAGGTAACCATAAACTCAAACTTGCTTTAATAGGAAAATCCAAGTGCTTTCAAAAACATAGCTCCTACAGCACTGCCAGTTTGGAATAGCAACCAAAAAAAGCACATGGATGAGCACTGAAATTTTTCGAAGCTGGTTTTATGAGAAGGCAGATTCATTCCTTCAGTAGAAAGATTCTTGAATTAAAAAAAAAACTAGAAAGGAAAGCTATTTTGGTTATTGATAATGTGCCATCTCATTGTAACACAATTGAACTGAAGGATGGGTACATAAGAGTGATTTTTTTTTTTTACCACCAAATGTCACCTCATTGTGTCAACCTAAGAACCAGGGTTTTATTGAAGCTTTCAAAAAATATATATCGATGTCAGCTTCTTAAATCATTTATAGATGTTATTGATGATGAAAAATAGAATGAATGAAGATGAATATAATGAAGAAACAAGTCAAGACAATTGTGAAAATCTTTTAATCTTATTGAAACAGATACCAGGCTGTGAAGATGTAAGCAATGAAGACATACAGAAATGGATGGAAAAAGATGAGCAACAAGAGCTGACTGATAAAGATTTAATTGACCTTGTGAATCATGGTGATGACGACAATATAGAAGACGATATTATTGGACTAGAGAAAATGGATAAATTGTGTCACAGTGAGGGAGTGAAGGCTTTTGACACAGCACTAATTTACATTGAGCAAAAGAAGGAAGCAACCGCTACAGACTTACTGGTGTTCAGACGCTGGCGTGATCTTACCACGAAGAAAAGTAAGGATGCCCCAAAAAAACTCCTGATCACTCATTGCTTTAAAAACTAAAAGTTTTTTATTCAGAAAAGTGTTGCAAATTCTATTTGTTTGTTGAAATATTCTATTTTATTTTTTGTTAGAATTAGTAATAAATTGAGTTTATACATATTTGTACCCTTTTTTTATTACTATTCCGTATTATCTGACATTTCTGCTATCTGAGCATCCTCCACTCAGTCCCATTCAGGTCAGCTAACTGAGACTCTGCTGTACCCAAATAAATCTGTTAGTTTTTAAAGTGCCACACGACTCTTTGTTGTTTTTAAAAAATGAAACTATTTTGATGGAAAGAGAAGATTATATAAAAGAATGAGATTATTTCTGACTTCCTGTTGTTTTCTGCCATTTTTCTCTTTATAACTTTTTGCACAGCCTTGCGTAGATTTTTAATACTAGATACATTAGTCTCCAGCTGTGTTATCTATGCTCAGTGCCAGGAAGTCTCTCTCCGAGTGCCCCTATAGATGCAATCTTGAGACACACAATGCTGGTTTTCTACCATTCTCTGGCAGAATTTCCAGTGCAGTTCCTGAAGGTGCCCCTCCTCATCAAACTGATCTTTCAATCCACCTGAGCTTCTCTTAGTCCACTATCCTCAGCATGGGTGGTCAGTGAAAGCAGGTGGGGGAGGCAAGCCACAAGCCCCACCTCCAGCCCTGCCCCTTCTGTTAGGCCCCACCTCTACCCCCACGAGGCGAGGCAGGATAGCATGGCACACATGTGCTCTCTCTTCCAACTGAGGTGAGGAGGCAGGCACGCACGTGCGCTCACCGCAGCCTCCACAGCCCCAGTGGAAGGCATACCGTGCCGCACAGCCTGGCCAAGCCCAGTCTCTTGAGCACTGGGGGAGGGAGGAGTCAGGGCGTGCTGCACCACAAGGCTCAGCCATCCCAGCCCTGGAGCTCTAGGAGCATGAACACTGGGGGCAGGAATAAAGCCCTTTTCCAGAGGATCTCTTATTCCTACTTCCAGAGGATCTCTTATTCCTACTTGCAAGTAGGAATAAGAGATCCTCTGGAAAAGGGCTTTATTCCAGAGGATCGCGCCAGTCTAGATGCTCTTTTCCGGCTTTTCCCCAAGCCAGAAAAAAAGCGGCGGCCATGTTTATTTAAATCCCGCGGGGGATATTTAAATCCCCCGCGGATTTCCCTATTCTGACTTGCCTGCTTTGCATGCCTCTTCCGGAGAAGGGGCCAGTCTAGACATAGCCTCACTGCTTACTGGGCTCTTAGAAGACATGTAGGGGTAAATTAGAGCTAAATAATAGCACAGAACATTGAGAGCCAGGACTGGTGGCTGTAAACATATTTTATGGGACCACCAGAAACTTGGCCATATCCATGATAAGTAGACATTCAGTTAACTAAAATCATGCCAGACCATAGATGTTACTGGATCAAAGAATGCTGGACTAAAGAGGTTCAACCTGTATTCAAATGTAGGTTTTACAACTCAGCCTGGAGTTTCCATCAAGAAACTAGTTTACCCCCAGTTTTGTGATGCTAACTGGACTAGTTAGGTAGCAGTCATAAAATCACGTGAACTATGGTGGATATGGTATTATCTTTTATTGGACCAACCTCTGTTCCTTATCTCATTCGCCAAGGCTATGTCTAGACTGCAGGCTTCTTTCGAAAGAGCCTCTTTCGAAAGATCGCGTCTAGACTGCAGGCGGATCTTTTGAAAGAGAAATCCGCTTTTTCGAAAGAGAGCACCCAGTGAGTCTGGATGCTCTTTCGAAGACGGCCTCTTTACATTGAAGAACGCCTTCCTTCGAAAGAGGAACTTTCGAAGGAAGGCGTTCTTCCTCGTGAAACGAGGTTTACCGCCATCGAAAGAAAAGCCGCGTTCTTTCGAAATAATTTCGAAAGAACGCGGCTTGAGTCTGGACGCAGGGGAAGTTTTTTCGGGAAAAGGCTACTTTTCCCGAAAAAACCCCTGAGTCTGGACACGGCCCAAGAGTCTCTAATATCCTGAGACCAGCTATGTTGCATTCAGAACAATGTGTCAAGCCAGCAGCAAAATCAACAGGAGACCCGACAGCTGTAATACATATTCCCTGGGTGGTCACAACGGAAAGACACGAAGAATAATCTTCCCCACTTACGTTCTCCTTTTGTATCTATTAAGTGTCTCCCACTTGAACATGTTTGTATGCAGCCTTCTCTTCCTTCCGATCACACAAAGGGGCCGTGCGTCTTATCTGTGAGGATGGAAACAGGGGGAAAGCCCGAAGCCCCCTTGGTTTTGAACCGCAGCTCCAATTTCAGGGCTCCTCTCCCACACGGAGCGAGACTCTTTTCCTTGCTCGGTTTTGCCGGCCCCCCCCCCCCCCG